GACTTTCTCTTTTTCGTTCTCTGCTTTACTAAGCATGATGTGCTTCTCCAGAGACTGGTCCCGCCTGTTAACATATCCAAACTATGTGAGACAATATCTCACCATACTTGCTTTGAAGGAACGTTCTGGCTGCACTTCTTCCAAGACAGGTTTGTTCGTTCTTCCAGCAGTCCCTGGAATATTCAATTTTCTTTGCCAACACTGTATTTCAAATGCATCAGTTCCTCTTTTCTTCTTATTCATGTGTCCATGTTTCACATGCTTATGTGGCTATTGCAAATACTATGACTTGGGTCAGGCATACTTTCATCTTCAAAGTTACATCTTTGCTTTTTAACATTTTAAAGAGGTCTTTTGCAGCAGATTTACCCAATGCAATACATTGTTTGATTTCTTGACTGCCACTTCCATTTGCATTGATAATGGATCCAAGTAAGATAAAATCCTTGACAGAGTCAATCTTTTCTCCATTTATCATGATATTGCTTGTTGGTTCAGTGTGAGGATTTTTGTTTTCTTTATGTTGAGGTGTAATCCATACTGAAAGCTGCAGTCTTTGATCTTCATCAGTAAGTGCTGTGAGTCCTCTTCACTTTCAGCAAGCATGGTTGTGTCATCTGCAATATCTCAGATTGTTAATGAGTCTTCTTCCAATGCCATGTTTTTCTTAACATAGTCCAGCTTCTCAGATTATTTGCTCAGCAAATAGACTGAAGAAGTATAGTGAAAGGATACTATCCTGATGCACACCTTTCCTGACTTTTAACCATACACTGTCCCCTTGTTCTGTTTGAACACCTGCCTCTTGGTCTACAACAGACTCTTAAATTTACAAAATGAAGAACAAGTAGATGCCTGTAATGGGCATAAATCCATCTGTAAGAGAAGTATAAGATAAAGGTTGGCAAAGAAGTGAATGCGAGTAGTGAGAGTCCCTCTCTATTCTGTCAGCCAAGCACAGAATGGTTATGAATAATTCAAAGTGTCATTCTATTAGTCTTTCCCTTATTAGGAGGTCTTGGTTTCCCAGTGTGGGTGCTCCTTGCATTTTCGCCTGTCCTGCCTCACTCAGACACTTACACACTTTATAGGATTGTGTCATCATGAGTCACAACACTTAAAAGATATTTCCGGGTTGTGGTAGTGTCAAAACTGTTTTAATAATCACAACTAAATTTTGTAGGGCTATTTTATGATAGAAAAATCTTGCAATGCACAACATTTGGTTTCTTTTTTTGGCAAACCTCGTGCAATGCAAAGATTTTTTTTCTGCCACAGCCTTTTTTCTTCTTCTTCTTTTTTTTAACCCATGGCTGTTTTCTTTGCTCTATAGTCTTCAAAGGGACTTAACATTAATTTCCCCATGCAGTTGCCTTTGGTATCAGGTAATTTCCTGAGTTAGATGATTGTGGAGGAAAGCAGCTGAAAGTCTGTATTGGCAAGCAGTGTACAGTACTTGTTACAGATCAAGGTGACCTTATTTTAAAGGCTACATTTAATCCAACATTAGTAAATTATTAAAGCAGCATTCTGTATATACAATTTCTAGTCGGAAGCCATTTATAATTAAGATTCCCTGCATCTTATTTTAATTTGGAAAAAATAATCACTAATAAATAACAGGTCAGTCCTGGAGAATCCAATGTAAATATCAAGGTGAACTCTCCTACTTATTGTATATTTCTTCCATATTTAAAGGTAATAACAATTGACTACCAAGTTAATGCTTTTCCACAGTCCATTTCACATAGAGAATGTGTGACACCTGTTGACTGATCAGGTTCCCTCCTAGTTTGTCTGTAAGTGGGAGCAAGCAGCCCTGGCTATTTGCCTGAAATGGTCACTGTATTCATTCTGTGTCATTATCCAAATCCACATTATAAAGCATATGAATGATAATGTGCATCTGGTTGAAAACCACAATTTTGTGAGCTGGAGGAAGTCATTTGCCAGTCAGCTTTCTCATTGTTCCTCTTGTTCAAAATTTATAAAAGAGTTTTTTTACTAAATAGTACTGTTGTTCACTGCTGTCGAATTGGCCCTCAACTCGTGTATGTAAACCCATGCACTCATGTGGGATTGAACTATTGTGACCCACGAGGTTTTCATTGGCTGGTTTTTACAAGTCAGTAGACTGCCAGGCCTTTCTTCCTAGTCTGTCTTGGTCTGAAAGCTCTGCTGATGGCTGTTCAGCATCAGCACAACATGCAAGCCTCCACTGACCATGACATGTGGTGGCCGTGCATGCAGTATGTTGGTGAGAAACTACCACTGATCCACATCATCAGGTCAATTCTGACTCATGGTGACCCCGTGGATGTTCCAGAGTAGAACTGCACTCTATAGGATTTTCATGGCTATGTGTAATCTGTTGAAAGCAGATCACCACGCCTTTCCTTTGAGGCACCTCAGAGTAGATTCAAACCACCAACCTTTTGGTTAGCATCCAAGCGCTTAACCATTTGCACCGCCCACATACTCCTTACCAACTAATACTAGCCATCATTCATTGAGCACTTAATATGTTTCAAGTTTGGTGCTTAGAGCTCTCCTTGGATTATCTCATTTAATCTGTTTGCATACTAAGGCATTTGACTGCTAACCAGAAGGCTGGAGGTTCAAACCCAACAGCCACTTCTCAGAAGGAACATCAGGCAATCTACTTCCTCAGAAACCCAAGGAGGGGTCACTATAAGTTGGATCTGACTCAACGGCAGTGAGTTTGATGTGTTTTTGTTGTTGTTTTTTTAATAACATAGGGACTTTGACAGGATAGTAAACTGAGGTATCCCTTTGCCAAAATCCATTGCCATTGAGTTGATTCTGACTCGTAATGACCCTATAGGACAGAGTAAAACTGCCCCATAATATTTCCAAGGTTGCAATTTCTACAGACATGTATTGCCACATATTTCTTCTGCAGAGCAGCTGGTAGGTTCAAACTGCCAACTTTTTGTCTAGCAGTCAAGTTCTTAGCCAATGTACCATCAGGCCTCCATAAACTGTTGTTGTTGTTGTTGTTAAGTGCCGTCGAGTCATTTCCAAATCATAGCGACCCCATGCACAGCAGAACGAAACAGTGCCTGATCCCGTGCCAGCCCCACAATCCCTGCTATACTTGAGCCCATCATAGCAGCCACCGTGTCAATCCATCTCATTGAAGGCCTCCCCCTCTTTCGTCGACCCTCCACCCTACCAAGCATGACATCCTTCTCCAAGGAATGATCCCTTCTTACAACATGACCAAAATAGGTGAGACGAAGTCTGGCCATTCTTGTTTCCAAGGAACATTCTGGCTGCACTTCCTCCAGGACAGATCTGTTAGTTCTTGTAGCAGTGCATGGTACTTTCAGCATTCTTTGCTAGCACCACAACTCAAAAGCATCAACTCTTCTTCGGTCTTCCTTATTCATTGTCCAGCTCTCACATGCATATGAGGCGATTGGAAATATCATGGCTTGTGTCAGGCGCACCTTAGTCGTCAAGATCTCCTTAAACTGAGGTACGCCAAAAACCAGACTCACTGCCATTGAGTTGATCCTACTCATAGAGACCCCACTTGGGTTTCTGAGGCAGTAAATCTTTACTGAAGTAGGTTACCTATTCTTCCTTTCACAGAGTGGCTGTTAAGTTTGACCTGTCAACCTTCTGGTTAGCAGTCATATAATCTAGCTGAATAAGCCAGCATTTGCAAGAGCCAGGCTTTAAACCCCTGTCTGTGTGACTCCACAGAACTACTCTGTCCCACCTCCCTTGGTGATGCGGTGTGTTATGGAAAGCCTGGGCAGTCTGTTTAGCACAGCAGGGAATGCTGTGAACACAGTCCCGAGAAGCCAAGGTTTCCGCTAATGCTCTCAAGTAAAACATTCATTCCCTACCTTATCCATTCAAGAAATAGCCACTGAGCTCCACATTGTATCAGATCCTTCGCTAGTTCCGTAGTATAGGAAAATGAGTAAGATAATATCTCTGTTTTTAGGAGAGTCCATATCTAAAGGGAGGAGAAAGATATGTAAAGAGATTATTATAAAATACAGTACAAGCTAAAATAAGCAAGGCTATAGGAGCAGCAGGATAGCCATGCAAGCCTGGGCCATGAAACAGCAGCCCACCGGAGGGCAGGGAACACCAGCTGGTGAACGTGTGGCGGGAGCAAGGACAGCGGCTGGTGTGAGGCAGAGCTCCAGTCATCTAGAACTTCATCTATCTATTTGGTAACAAACTGAAAATGATTCCTTAAATCTTAATTACATACCCACTGGGGTGTGTGTGTGTGTGTGTGTGTGTGTGTTTTAGGGATAGGAGAACAGAATTGTTCAGAGCTGATATAATCTCAACTCCAAGAACCCTACTTTTAATATAGAACCCCCAAAGACCTTTTTGTGTCAGAGATGATTTTCTCAGGCTGCATAACCACAAATCCAAATCTATGATCAATTTACATAAAACTGAAACGTAATCTGTTTAAATAATAATGATCAAACACATGGTTTTGATGAAAAATAAATGAAGAATTTTTACCTCCATTGTCTGAGCTGTGATTAGAATTTTGCTCTAGAAAATCATTTCAAGACCAGCCCTTTAAATAAGGATACAGTGTTTTCAGCATTTGTGTTTACTAAATAATGTAATGTATCTGTGTGTGTGTGATTTAAAAGAGCTGGGGGATTATTGTTGCATTTCCTGTTGAGTTCACAACTAACATTTGACAATATTTACTTGGCAGAAGTAGTACATAATGAGCAGTATTTCTGAGGATTCATGGCAACTTAAAAAATGTATATTGTGATTAGTTGGTTTAAATGCTTTGAGATATTTTTTATTCTTATGCCTCTGTTATTCTTTTTTTTTTTTTTTTCCACGAAGTTGACTCAGCAACAGAAACATATTCAAATTAGACTTGTCATACAGGGACAAAAAAAAAATCTGACTTTGTCAGGGTGGGTGGAGGGGAAAAAAGCAACTTTTTGTCAGTCTTTTGTATTTCGGCAGCTGGATTCATTGCTGCCATGGTAACGGACCACATGATGAGGTGTATTAGATTGCTGTGTGTTGAGCACAAGGGGAGGAATGAACACAGCTTTTTATTGAAGTTAAAGGTTACTTTGGAGTTTCTTCTGTGGAAATGTGTAAGGTCAAATACTATAGCTTTTAGCATATGTAGTACTTCAGAAGAAGGATTAGGGGCATGCTGGTGCATTTAACTACAAACCAGGTAAGGCATAATCGAATCTACGAAACTGGACTCCTCTTCCTTCTGTCGCAGTGGCATAACTTGCTGGGTGGAATTTCACTGTCGCTCCCACCCCCACCCCCACATGGGCACAGGACACATTTCTCCTGCCCCCTTTTCCCCCTGCCCCTCCAAGTTCATCTGTTTTTAATTTCAGGGAGTACAGTGTTGTGGATTTTTATAGTTCTGTGGTAGTATATGTAAGTGTGTGTAAGTAAAGAAAACTGGAAAAGAAGTGATGAGAGTGTCTTCAGATCAATGGAAAACCAAGCAAAGTGTTTCCTTGTTTGTTTTGTTAGTTGAAAATGGTACACTTTTCTCAGAGGACAACTTATTGGTGGCATTGGTCCAAAGGTACTTGTGTGTTATACAGAGTTAAGTAGTACAAAGTTCTCCCACATGTTATTCAGTGAATTTATTGTATATTTTTGTATTTTTTCCCATTATGTTATTGCCAATGTCAACCAACATTAATAGCTCAGTTTTATTTATAATTTTTACACTTCAAATATTTGAAATTGATATTTTATTCTTTTAGCCATGAGGGTTGTATGTGTGCTATATAAGAACAGAAATGGAGAAAAAAGAAGTAGGAAGAGTGCTATTACATTGGGGGGATTGTAATGAATGTCATAAAACAAAATGTGTATGAATTGTTGAATGGAAAACCAATTTGCTCTGTAAACTTTCACCCAAGCCACAATAAAGAAAAAAGAAAAAAAGAAATGGACACAGTATGGTTGATTATAAAATGAGCTGTCTTTCATAGACGCTGGTAAAAATTGAATGTAAACAGTCAGTGTGGCTTGGTGAAGCATCAATTCCCAGAGCTCAGAAGCTTACTCTTGCCTTGTTTACATATCTCCCTAGCAGCTTACTTCAAAAGGAAGGCTTTAATGTGCACACAAATTACAATGAAAACGCAGAAGGATATTGCTTTAATAATAACATATTTGTTGTGGTTATTCGTTGTTTCCACTGGTATTTGATATTGTCTTCCACATAAGACATTTGGATTTAGTTTAATTTTTTTAGCCAAGTGTTAACTTATGCAACTTCTTCCCTTTTATAATAAAGTTAACTTGGCATCTAAAGAGACAAAAGCTAACTAAACTTTAGCAGATCCATGATGTTATTTGAGTATATTCAATGTTCACCTGGAGTGTTTCCATATAGGAAAATCTTAGAAAGTTACTTTCTTAGTCAGCTAAAATCATTTATTATTTTATGTACTAATCAATCATTGGTACTAATTAGAATAAAAGCCAGTAAGTTATCTCAAGTTTGTTCATAGACCACTTTTTTTTTTTTTATCAAGAAGGGTAACAAAATTTTGTAAAAGCAATTTGTGTTCTGTGATTTTCATTGCTATTTCTTTGGTCTTTCTAGTTTTCATTTGCCCAGGCTATCTTCTAAGTTTGAGAAAGAAGCTATAGTTATTGTTCAGAACAATTTTTACCATAATTTCAAATAAAGGGAAGTCTTTCCATGATAACACTTATCAAAAGCATTATAATAGTACTTCACATTTGTAAAATGGTCCTTCATGAATCCACAATCATTTTTTTTTCTTTTTTCACTTAGTTGTTTTGAATATAACTAATTCTCTCATTGTCCTAGCTATGAGAAAGTTCTTCAAAGCATAAAATATTTTCACAGTCATAAGCTGTTATTTCTAGAGAATGGGAAGTTGCCAAATAATTGGTTAAAGATGGTACCTGGTAAAAGATTTTAAAATGTGAAATTCTCAAAACTGACAATATCTAAGGTAGAATGTGATATTGTTTTTAAAGGAGAAATAAAAGAGGAAGGGAGAGAAAGAGGAAGGGAAAGAAAGGGAGACAGGAAGAAAACAAAAGAAAATGTCAATTCTCTCTCTATAAAAGAGAGATGGAATAGATAGATGAGATTAAATTACCAAAATGTACTAGTACTCCATTACTTTGTGTTTCAAACTTATGATAAGCCACAAATAATAACTCATATTTATTGAAATGGAAAACAAAAAAATATCGTAGTTGAATTTGTTTCAAATCTTCATTGCTGTGGGCTATGCTATCAGCCAGTTTAGTGCTTGTGTAAAAATCAATGCAAACTAAAATTTTTGTGGTCTTTATTCATCTGACATAGACCCTACGCCTGTAGTCATTTCTGAGGTCATTGGGACTGAGAGGATTTATAAGATGAAAGCTTTATCTATGGTTATTTTGGTACTTAAGTTGCTAAGAACCAAAAAATAACTTTTGGTGTACATAATTTAAATTAGAAATTTTGCCAAGATGTGTTCAATTGAACCATATTTTTGTCAACTCTTGTTTAAATTACATTCTATTGTTGATTGTCAATGACTGGCACCTTTTCTTAGCATTTTAGCTTTAATTTCTAGTGCTCCCTTGGCTTTCAGACAAATAACTAATTATCTGCAGACATTTACCTCTATTAAGGAGATGTTCAACAGTCATAATGAGGAAGAATCCTTGTGACTAATTTGGCTTCTTCTGTAAAACCAATGGTAGCTTTCAGACCCCAAGACAATATTTCTAAACTAGATGAGGACCAGTAGATGAAAATGAATGACGACTCCATATCAGCTACATATTCTAATTTTAGGAGTTAACCATTTTTGAAGCTATGCATTCATTAAAACAGATTTTTCTATTGACCACCATTTTTTTTACGTGAAAAGAATTGGGTTATATTTTAAGGATTCTTAAACTTTTCAAACGAACAAAGAAACAAAACTAACGGTACCATGGTGATGATGATGATGAAATTGACTATAATGATTAATTTGGAGAATAAGAGAGACTTAGAGTCTTGGATCTAGTATAGCAAATGCCAAGGTCTTTAGAAAGGAGGTGGGACATTCTAATGGGTAGTATGATTCTCAGAAATCGACTCTCAAATTTAATTAATTCCATTAATAGCATTTATAAACCACTAACAATAGATGTGCTTGTTATATTCTTACCAGAACTTATTGTAAAGTATGCTGGCTTTGTTCAGTCAGCAATAGAGTCTTTCATCAAAAATGATTAAATTTATCAAGAACTGTACAATGTGTGGGCTAGTATCTGATAGGAAAAGGGTAAACTCATTGCTAAGAATGAACAACTTGTTTCATTTTAAAAATACATAAAAAGGGAGAATCAACTTGTGTCTCTTTCATAATATTAGCTTGATATGTTTTAGAGTGACATTATTATAATAATCTCTCTCTCTCTCACGTCATACATAATACAAAACTGAGGGATTATTATTTAGAATATATGACAGCCACCCTTTTAACCATGCTGAATATCCTCTGATGAAAATTCTTGTTTGTTCTTCTCTGCATTTTAAACTAGTTTATCCGGAATGCACTCAGAAGCCATGTACATTCAAAGAAAGGCATACGGGCAGCCATGTAGAAAGTGGACGAGTGGGAGTCCATACTGGATGGACAGAACTAAGTGGTGAGGTTCATGCAACAAACCAGAACAAGGGTGAGAGAGGTTCTGAGCTGAGATGGTAAAAGTAGAATTTGAAAAGGAGTAGACTTGAGGGGTATTTTGCCAGCTGCCCATCTTTACAAAAATTCAGGTAGGGAACATGTGACTTATTTTTTTAAGCCTCCCTGGAAATGATTAGTTACTGCATGCAGTGCCAGAGCAAGATTATTATGCCAAGGAAACTGCACACACCTTGTAATATGTAAGTTTTTCTAACAAGATCAACCAGCATAAATCATCCTGTTGGAAGCAAGGGCCACTATATCATCTATTTTCCTAAAATGTTTGGCACATCACAATATTGTTTGGCGACGTAATATTGCTGAGGTGGGAACTTTATGAAATTTTTCTTTTCATCAAAATCTTAATGTTCTTTGATACTGAGAAATAGTGATTTTTTTTTTTCTTTCGAACATATAAGAATTTTTAAGGACCGTAATTAGAGATCATTTAGAAAGGTCAAAAAACAGTTCCCATTATCACTGTGGAAGCAGTCTCCTAAAGCATTTCTGATTTGGGTACTGTCTTAGTCTCCTCATGCTGTTGTAACAAAATTCCACAAAGTGGGTGGCTTTAGAGAACACAAACTTTTTGTCTCATAGTTCCAGAGGCCGTAAGTTCAAATCAGTGTATTAGCCATGTTGGTTCTTTCCGAGGGTACTGAGAGAGAAAACTGTTCCATATCTGTGTTAGGGTGGGCTCTCAGAGAAGCAAAACCAGTAAAGCTTATATAGAGAGAGGGAGAGAGAAATTTGTCTTAGGAAAATGGCTAACACACTTATGTTGTTGTTGTTATGTGCCGTGGAGTTGGACCCGACTCATAGCGACCCCTCCTGGGGTTTCTGAAGTTGTATGAGCTCCTAACACACTTATAGAAGCTGGCAAGTCCCAAGTTCTTGGATCGCACATCAAGCTGGAGGCTCTTCCCAACTCACACAGCTGTAGGGGCTAACGAGCTCAAGGTTCACAAGCAGTATACCGGCTGTTGACTTCAACGAATGACGAATCCAAGATCACCAGGCCAAATGGTGGATTCTTTGCTCATAGACAGTTGTAGGCAGCACAACAGGATCCTGATCCACAGAAGGTTCTCTCTTTTTCCCAAGATGTCCATAAATATATTGGAAGCAGGTCACACCCCTAGGGAAATTCCCTTTCAATGGATTGGCTGCTCAAAACATATAGATCTGATCTCATCACGGGAATAACCCACATCACAACTGACTAAACCACTCAGAATTGTGGTCCAGCCAAGTTGGCACACAATTCCAACCATCACAATGCCTGTCTCCTGGCTTCTGGCAATCTGTAATCCTTAGTGTTCCTTGGCTTGCGGCTACTTCTGACTCTATCATCACGTGCCCATTCTGCCTGCGCCTTACTCTATGGGTCTGTCCCTTTTTACACAGCACCACTGGGATGGGATTAAGACCCACCTTACTCTGGATGACCTCATGTTAACTGATAAGATCTTCAGATATTATTTTCTAA